AGGCTGAGGCAGGCTGAGGCTGAGGCAGGCTGAGGCTGAGGCTGAGGCTGAGGCTGGCTGAGGCTGAGGCTGAGGCCGAGGCTGAAGGCAGACTGAGGCTGAGGCTGAAGCAGGCTGAGGCTGAGGCTGAGGCAGGCTGAGGCTGAGGCTGAGGCTGATGCTGAGGCAGGCTGAGGCTGAGGCTGAGGCTGATGCAGGCTGAGGCTGAGGCAGGCTGAGGCTGAGGCCGAGGCTGACGGCAGACTGAGGCTGAGGCTGAAGCAGGCTGAGGCTGAGGCTGAGGCAGGCTGAGGCTGAGGCAGGCTGATGCTGAGGCAGGCTGAGGCTGAGGCTGAGGCTGCAGGCTGAGGCTGAGGCTGAGAGGCTGCTGAGGCTGAGGCTGTGACTGCGACTGCCGTTGCCACTGCGACTGTCATCGCGAATGCGACTACGACTACGAGAACAGCAGAATTCTACAACTGGATTATCATCTGAATCTTAAGGGGAATGCTTCCAGACATGCTCCTACACATCGCTGTTAGGTTGCTTTGCCGGGATAAGCCTCCCCCTCCTCACCTCATACACAGCTCCTCCTCCTCCCTCCTCTTCCTCCTCTTCCTCCTCGTCCTCCTCCTCCTCCTCCTCCTCCTCCTCCTCCTCCTCCTCCTCCGCTTCCTGCTACTGCCGTTCCCGCTGCTGTTGCTGCTGCTCCCCCTCCCCCTCCACCTCCTCTATTGAAAACTCTACGCGTTCGCACCTGTAGCTGGTTTCCCCGCGTCACCGTTACGCGTGGGTGGGGGTCGGGAGGAATCGCGCGTCTTGCGTCCGGGAGTAATAAAATAACGATATGCGTCCCTCGAACTCCCAGATCCGTCGCCGTTCCGCTGGGCGCGGAATGGTCGCGTCCAGAGGTCCGTCGCCCCATCGTCTAAGCCGATAGCCTCACTCCTGAAGAGTCTATAAATGCCTGGGGCCCAATTTGCCAAATCTCGGGCTCGTCGCGTTCCCCCGAGGTTGGCCCGCGACTTCCCGACGCCCCAGAGGGTTTCAAGACGGACCGAGGGAGCCCCAGGGTCCAGGAGTGCTGCGCGCCGCCGAAAAATCACTCCAGGACGCCCAAGACGGCCCCGACCGAGACGCCCCTGGAGGCTTCCGACAGACGGCCCCGAAATGTCGCGCTCGCTGACCGCCCCCAGGTCGTTCGAAGATGACTGGACTGGCATTCTCGCCATCTCGGCATCCAGACGCGCCGAGATGGCCCGCGAGGCCCCCGAGATCCCCCCCGGGAGGCCCCCCCGCCCCCGAGGAGGCCCCAAGACGGCCCGGAAAAGGGCCCCGAGGCGGCCGAGCCAGGGCGGCCCAAGGAGGGCCAAGAGGGGGCCAATACGGGGACGTTTCGAACCATCGGCGCCGCGGGGCCCCCGGCGGGGCCCCGGATGCCGCAAGAGGCCCCGGGAGGCCCCGCGAGGCCCGATGGGGCGCCCGGGAGGCCCCGAAGCCTGCTCCCGGATTGGGCGCCCTCGAAGGCGCCCCGGAGAGACCCGCGCGAACGCCCCCGAAAACTCTGACCCCCGACCCGCGCGCGGAAGCGGGATGGGCCGAAGGCCACTCGATGACTCTCCTGTGTCGCGCCCCCAGATGCGTCGGCAGGGCGGCACGGGCGTTTCGCATGAGGCTTCTCGCCAGCTATGACCATGAGGCTCGAACATTGCACAAGCAGCGCGGGCAGCGGAGGGCTGATGAAAAAAATGCACCCACAAAGCACCCGGTCAGCAGCTGAAGTGCAGGGATTTCCACATGTCCTACATATGCACAGGCGCGCCTCTTCATCATCGCGCCGCGCAGCGAGCAAGGCTTGAAACGCGAGACGGGACGAGAAGCCAAAGCAGCACGGTGACCGCAGACGTAACGGCTCAGAGAAACTAAGCGCTCATCGATAGCTGCTTCCGAAGAGTTTGGGCGGCATGGCGGGCAAGAGTCGTTGAACCGACAGCCTGGATGTCGCGAGGCCAAACCGGCTACGGATAATGCAAGAGAGGGGCAAGACATACGGACATAACCCGAGGGGTCAAGCCCAATGGGTGGGACAATCTACAAGCAAATCTATACAAACACATGGGGTTCGAGCCAGAGGGGAGATGCAATCGATATGCACATACGTGAAACACAATAGGTTCGAGCCGCAGGAACGGTCCGATCTAGCACAGACGTAAAACCTACAGATTTCGAGCCACCGGCGAGAGGAGCGTGAGGCCGCGGGAATCCCGCGGCGCCCAGAGGCCAAAAAATGGACGAACCGATCCTGGGTACGAATCAGTTTCCGACATTCCGTCCAAGGGCCCCAAAGGGGAGGCCAAAAAATGGACGAACCGATCCTGGACACGAATCAGTTTCCGACACTCCGTCCGAGGGCCCCAAAAGGGGGGGGGGGCTCTCGGAAGGCCCGGCACACGGGGCGGCCCAGATGACAAAGAGCCTGTTTTTTTTAGACTCTGGCAAGTTTACTTGCATGGACGGGGGGGGGGCTGAGCCTGAAGCAAGCCGCAAACGACATGCACGTTCGGGGGGGCGCGGAAATCACGCAAGTCGAAAGGCACTTGCACGCTAGTATTCGCTTGAAGAGGGGCGAGGGGGGGGGGGGGGGGGGCGAACGCCATGCAAGTAAACTTGCCCGAATCCAAAAAAAACAGGCTCAAAAAGTGCACGCATCGACGCTGGATACAGCTACAATTCCGACGATCGGCCCCCGGGCCCGGGGAGACCTGGGGAGGCACATGCCAGTCGAGCCACAGGGGGCGGGTAGTCCATGAGCGCGTACGTAAAGACCAATAAAACAAGGCAGATTTTGCGGGCACTGGTGTAAAACATATCGGATTCGAGCCCCAGGAGAAGGGAATCGGGAGGAACGGGGCAGTCTATAGGGTCGCATGAAAAATACGCATCGGCTTCGAGCCCCCGAAGACGGGCACATACGCAGAACACATCGGGTTCGAACCACAGCAGAAAGGGTAACCTATACGATGCGAACACACATAATATCTGAGCCGCAGGGAAGGGGCGTCTCAAACGACATCGAACCAAAACACAAAAGCGAATCGAATTTCTGAACCAAGCCGAGCCTGAACACCATGGCGAACTTTGCCAGCAGATTCGGTCCGCGCCGACGGGCCCCTTTTTGTGGAGATTCCGGAGAGATGACTATTTGTTATGTGCCTCCAGCGAAACGCTACTAGAGAACGTTACTTGAGAAAAACCATGCTTCTAACTTGGGGTCACCATGTTGGATACCCTTCAGTGGGTGACCTGGACAAGAAGCAATTCGTGTTTCCAGCTCGGGACCACCATGTTGGATGCCCCCATGGGTGGCCTGGGCACGTGCGTACACATGGTTCCAACTCGGGGCCACCATGTTCGATGTCCCCGTGGGTGGCCTGGACCTGTGAAAACACTGGGTTCGAGCTCGGGACCACCATGTGAACGACACTCCTGGGCGGTCTGGGCATTAACAACCCTTACTTCGAAGGCTGCAGTTGAGCCAAAAATAGGGAGAAAACGAACCTACCTCGCTTTTGACCACCCTCGCTTCCAAGAGATACCAAGCGATGCCAAACTAAGGCCTGTACTGGTCAGGCCGCTTGACGAGGAGGTGCGTGGTATGACTTGGTTTTTCCTGGAAGCGAAAGCGGGGTAGGTAATTCACGCTCTGAAGAAAACAACAAGGAATCGCGCTTCTCGGCGCAATCGGGCTCGCACACCATAGTGATCGCTGCCAGCAGACGCCGGGCCGCCACAACGACGTGGCGAGGCGCGCGTCTGGGCCACAGCGCGCCGGAACGCGATAGTGAGTGCTGCCGGCAGGCTCCTGGCCGCCAGCACACCACTGAGGGGGAACTGGGACACACACACATAAATACACACAAATAACCGGATTCCCCGTATTCTCCCATATTTTTTCTGGGTTCCTGTCTTCCCCCCCACTTCCCATATTTTCCCAGATTCTCTTGGGAGTCGGCGACTGATTGTGTCCGTGTGTTTTTTCCCCTCCTGACTGGTGATCGCTGCCCAACCGCCGATGGGCCTGGGAGATGCCTCCCCCTGCCCCCCCCCCCTATGTGTGGGGATTCTGGCGAGAGGAAGTGCTTGATCTGTATGAAAACCTTACAGCGCGACGTCATTCAGGAAAAATGAAGCCCTCGCCCAAGAGCCGCGCGCATTCGCTTTCACCGTTCGCATCAGCTTCCAGGGGGCAGAAGGATGGGTAGCACGGTGATCTCGTCGTGGCACCGCGCGCATGTGCCTCAAGCGTCTGCAGCGTCATCAAGCATGGAGGGCAATTCCGCTTCAGGATGGACATCTCGCCCTAGTTAGAGGGGGAGGGCAGCTCTTTAAACAAAGTGGAGCGTTCGCTTAAGACGAACATCCTAAAACCAGGAGCTTAAGCATACGTTACAGCTGTGTGGATGGCTGGTGGCTACTTTCAAGATCGAGCTATCGATTAACACTGCCTCGAATACCATAATCAGCATTGCAAACTGTTGCAAAGATGCTGCAGGTGGGCCAATCCTTTCTCAAAACGGAGGTCTCGCTGGATACCTCGTTCAACTGTCTGACCATACCTTCCGCATGGCGTAGTTCTCTCAAGCTGTACGCAGGGCAGTTCGATAATGACAGAGCCACAGAGGCACCGACCTTTCAAGGGGGCGCTTCTTGTGCTGAAGAACGGAGCATCCAGGCACTCGCAGAGCAGGGACCTGGGCTGGAAGCGTGTATTGCAGCATCATGGATGCATCTTGGGCTGAATGTGGTGATCCTCCTCCTCCCCCTCCTCCTCCTCCTCCTCCCCCCTCTTCCTCCGCCCCCGCATCCCCGTACCCCTCCGTGCCTGTGCACAAACCAGAAGGCGTTAAAACTAAACCCCTCCTCCTCCTCCTCCTCCTCCTCCTCCTCCTCCTCCTCCTCCTCTTCTCCTTCTCCTCCTCCTCCCCCTCCTCCTCCTCCCTCCTCTCCCATCCTCCTGGCTCCTCCACCACGAAGCCCGTGACCACACTGGCCGACAGCGGCTGCGCGACGAAGGCGGCGGGGGGGGCGCCCACCACGGGGTTGTCGTAGGGCACGAACTCCAGCCATATCCATCCTCAGAAAGGCCAGAGCACGGCACGCGCAAAAATTCTCGAGGGCCCGCAGACATCTCGGGCGTTGACCATTCCCCAGGGCAAGTTTTTCATCCCGAATCGATTCTTTACGTTTCACGGGGCCCCGCTCGGGAACCCAGAGGCCCGAAACGGCGCGAGGGACTGGCAGCGGTATGGACACCACCTCCTCCTCTGGAACCCTCAGGAATCCAGGAAGCATGCCGATCAGCGGTATGGACACCACCTCCTCCTCTGGAAGGAGTGCCCGCGCAGAGGTCCGAAGAGCTGGCGCTCCGTGCAGCTTGAGGGGGGTCCTCCACAACTAAAACAGGGCTAGGATCGGGATAAATCACTCCAGAGCGTTCCGGAGCGCTCTCAGAGCATTCCGGAACGCTCTGGAGCGGCCGCGGCGCTCAATACATCCTCCAAACCCGCCAATTCTCAGAGATTTCGAATTATCCCCATCCAATTTCGTCCCGATCTTCGCGTCGTTTTAACAGCTCCTGGGGAGCAGCACCCCTGGCGCAGGCCCTGCGGCGCCTGCGTGCCCTTGTTCCGGACTAGCGCGTGGGCCTTGACCGACCAGCCGCTGCCGTCCAGGGCCTCGGACAGCGGGGCGGCGAGGCGGCCGCCTGCCTCGTCCCTGGCGAGGCAATGCCAATGGAGGCCACCACGCAGGAGGGTCGCCGCTTCCTCGAGGAAGCGCCGCTCCCTCGGCGCAGTGGAGCCCCAGGGCCTCCCAGAGCGCCCCGCAACGGCCCCAAACGTTCACAAGCCTCTTCGAGCCGCGACCCCGGAGCCTCGATCCTCGGGAGGGTGAACCCCCTTTGGCGCCGCCCGACCTGAGCCGGGGGAGCAGCCGGTACTTGACGTACAGAACGAGCCCCACCAGCACGAGGGGGTTGACGAGCATCAGCACGCCCACCCTGCCGAAGAAGTCCTTCAGGTCCTCGCGCGGTGGAGCTTCGGGAGTGCGCACGCACCGCCTCCCCGGACAGTTCTGGCTGGCCGCAGCAGGCCCCCGAACTGTCTGGGTCGGGCCCTCAGCACCCCAGCGCCGCCTCCGGCGGCGCCCCTCGGGCGCTCCGCTAAAACAGGGCTAGGATCGGGATAAATCGCTCCAGAGCGTTCCGGAGCGCGCTCAGAGCGCTCCGGAACGCTCTGGTGCGGCCGCGGCGCCCAATACATCCTCCAAACCCGCCGATTCTCAGAGATTTCGAGTTCTCCCGATCCGATTTTGTCCCGATCTTCCGTCGTTTTATCCGCGCCCCAGGGCTGCCGTGTCGAGCCTGCCCAGGCTGCTGGGGGGGGGGCTGCTGCTGCAAAGAACTCCGAGCAACAGAACAGCAATAAGAACGTCGGAGGTCCGCGCGGACTGCTCGGATCGACGTCGGGCCCCTCCCTGCCTGGCGTGCGGAGCGGCGCCAGAGGCTCCGCCAGTGGGGCCCGGCGCCGATCCGAGAAACACCCCGCGCGGAGCTCCGAAAGCGTAGGTTCATGCATTTGTGCCTCCTTCGACTGCTGAGGCCGCACTTTCAGTTCTCCCTTGGACAGCGCATGTCCACACGATGTATCTTAGCAGTTGTCTACACTTTGTGTACACTTGCGTTTGTAGTCCGGCGGGGACAGACCAGACGATTGATTAACCCTGTAGTGTTGCCAGACGAAACACTTAAACCTGTACCGCATGACTTTGCCAGAGGAAAAAAAGAGGCCAGCTGGGGGCTACCTGGGGAGGCTGTCTGTGCGCAGCCCAGAGCTTCACGCTTCTGCGGCAACGCATGGGAGCTTCCCATGCCATCTTACTGGCTCTTGCGAATCGGCATTGGTCGACGCTATTCGAGCATAGTTCGATGATAGTGGACGCTACATCGGCGCCACCTCCCTGGCTAGTCGGCTGATCGACGCTACGCCAGACGCGAGTCGACGATCACCAACTCTGTGGAAAGAATGGCAAATGCGGACAAGGCTCACATGAACGACGGAAAAATCAGGGGCTCACGCGAGATGACGTAGCGACCTTGCGTAAGCGGTGGCTCAAGCGGGCCGCCAGCGCTGTACGCCACACTGGAGACGAGGGCGCTCACGCGCGAACTTACGCGGACAACTTACGTCCGAATGTCGGTGAAGACAAGCCCGTTGTGCTGCAATGCTCAAATGATTCTGCTGCCGAAGAACGAAGGTCCTCGCATGCGGTGAAGGCTGCCTCCGTGGTGCAGATGCCCTCCCCATCCTCGTACACGAAGACGCAGCCAGTCAGCTTGTCACACGTGCTCGGCTGGAAGGTGTTGCACTGGAGCAAATGTTCTATTTGTCGGCAATAACCTGTTCAGAAAAAATAAGGCTAAGATAGTTGACCTTACCCGAACCGTTGTCTTACAATGCTTTCCAGGTCCACACGTACGAACGCTTCTCCAAACCAATATCCCGGCAAAGGGCCAAGCCATATTCAATTGTAGATATCGCCCTTCGGTGGGGGTCCCTATGGGGCCACGAAGCGCGTGAGGGGTATGCCGAAATGGGCGGGGGGCACAAGCGAGCGTCGCCACTGGGGCCTTCGAGCGAGCTCCGTATGGGTCCACGAAACGCGTGAGGGGTATGCCATAATGGGCGGGGGGAGACGCATGTGATCGCCGCCAGGGGGGCCTCCGGTGGAGCTTCCTATGTGGCCACGAAACGCTGTACTGGGTGGCGCGGGCGAACGTGATCACAGCCACAGGGGCCTTCGGTGGAACTCACTATGGGGCCACGAAGCACCGAACTGAGTGACGCGGGACGCATGTGGTCCGTGTCACTGACGCCTGCGGTGGAGCTCCCCATGGGGCTACGAAGCGCCGTATTGCGGAGGCGCGGAGCGCATGTGGTCACACCCGCTGGGGCCGTCGGTGTAGATCTTCTGGGACCACGAAACGCCGTACTGAGTGGCGCGGGAAGCATGTGGTCACACCCACTGGGACGCATGTGGTCACTGCCACTGGTGCCTTCGGTGTAGCTCCCTGTGGGGCCTCCAAGCGCCGTAATGGGTGGCGCTGGACGCATGTGGTCACCGCCACTGCGGTGGAACTCTCCATGGGGCCACCCAGCGCCGTACTGGGTGTCGCGGGACGCATGTGGTCCCACCCAATGAAGCCTTCGGTGGGACCCCCTGTTGGACCACGAAACGCCGTACTGGGTGACGCAGGACGCATGCGACCACAGCCACTGAGGCCTTCGGTGGGGCTCCCTATGGGGCCTCAAAGCGCCGTACTCGGTGGCGCGGGGCGCATGTGGTTGCAGTCGCTGGGGCCTTCAATAAAGTTCCCTCTGGGGCGGGCGCATGTGGTCACAGCAATGGGGGCCTCCCGTGGAGTTGCTTGTGAGGCCACAAAGCGCTGTCCTGCACGGCGCGGGACGCATGTGCTCACAGCCACTGGACCCATCGGTGAGGCTCCCTACTGGGCCACGAAACACCGTACTCGGTGGCGCGGGACGCATGTGGCCACAGCCACTGGACCCTTCGGTGGAGCTCCCTATTGGGCCACGAACACTGCACTGGGTGGGGACACGCATGCGGACACCGTCACTGGGGCCTTCGGTGGGGCTCCCCATGGGGCCACGAAGCGTCGTAGTGGGTGGGGAGACACATGCGAATACCGCCACCGGGGCCTTCGATGGAGCTCCTTGTGGGCCACGAGGGGCTGTATTGGGTGGGGGGCCGCGTGCGAACATCGCCACTGGCGCCTTCGGTTAAGCTCCGTATAGGGCCGCGATCCGCTGCACTGGGTGGGGGAACCGCATGGGCACACCGCCACTGGGGCCTTCGGTGGAGCCCCCTCCTATGGGGCCACGAAACCCTGTATTGGATGGGGGGGGCGCATGCGAACACCGCCACGGGGGCCTTCGGTGGAGCCCCCTTTATGGGGCCATGGGAACGTTGTACTGGGGCGGGGGAGACGCATGCGAACACCGCCGCTGGGGCCTTCTGGGACCTTCGGCGGCCGTGGAACTCCTTATGGGGCCACGGAACGCTGTAGTGGGTGGGGGAGACGCATGCGAACACCGCCATTGGGGCCTTCGGTGGAGCTCCCTGTGGGGCCGGGAAACATTGTAGTGGGTGGGTAGGGCGCGTGCGAACACAGTCGAACACTTCCAATGGGGCCTTCAGTGTGGCTCCCTCTGGAACCTCGAAACATTACACTTGGCGGGGGGCACGCATGCGAACCCCGCCACTGGGGTTTCGGTGGAGCCCCCTTCTGGGGCCACGACGCGCTGTACTGGGTGGGGGAGACGCTTGCGAACAGCGCCGCTGCGGCCGTCGGTGGAGCTCTCTATGGGGTCACGAAACGCTGTAGTAGGTGGGAAGACGCACGCGAGAACCGCCATTGGGGCCTTCGGTGAAGCTCCCCATGGGGCCACGAAGCGCCGTACTGGATGGCGCGGGACGCGTGCGAGCACCGCCAGTGGGGCCTTCGGTGGAGCTCGCTGTGGGGCCACGCAGCGCTGTACTGGGAGGTGAGTGCGCATGCGACCACCGCCACTGAAGCCTTCGCTGGAGAGCCCTGCGGCCCTATGGGGCCGCGGAATGTGTGAGCGGTGTTCCGAAATCGCTGACTGGTGCTTAGGGCAGAGGCGGGGATGGGAGGTGGGAGGAGGGGGAGGCAGGAGTAGAGGAAAGCAGAGGACGAATAGACGCGGGGCGCTGACTCTTGAAAACGAGGGCCCAGTACCACAAAATGGTTGGGAAAACGTCTCCTGGCCAGAGTGGTCCCGCCGGCAGGCGACTGCAAGGGCCAGGCGCCAACCGAGCCCCAGCAGCACCATCAGGGTCACCACGGCGGCGCTGAAGATGCCATAGTGGTTGTAGAGCATCACGCCCCAGGAGCTGTCCCGAAAGCGGTACCACTCCTACAGGAGACACAGATGTGACCTTTGAGGCCTAAACTGCCCGAGTTACTGTCGGACCTCAATCACAGGGGGGTAAGAGACTTCCGTGGGCCAACTGCTGGCTGGACGGCCTCAAAGTAGATGCGCCTGTTGTAGAGGAGCAACAGTGGCGGCATCCACCGAAACCTTCGGAGGAATGCGCTGACTGCTTGGATCGGCGCTGCACCCCTCCGCTGGCGGCGCGTGCGGCGCAGCCCGGCACGCTCCAAGATGCGGGCCCCGAGGATAGACACCACCACCACAACCTCCATTTTCCCTCCCTCCCTCCACCCTCCTCTAACCCTCCTCTTTCTTGGGGGAAGGAGGGGGTGAGGAAGGTGAAGGTGGTGTGCATTTCTGGGCGCCGTCTAGGAAGAAGCTGGGGGGGGGGACGACGAGACGCAGCTCCGCCCCACTCGTTCCCCCCGACCCTCCTAGGGTCGATCCTGGCGAGCTCTTCGGGCTGCGCCCAGCCTGGGAAACGGGGGGGCTCCCTCTTATCCCACCTTTCTTGCTGGCCGGGACCCATGCCATGCTGGGCCTCCCGAGCCTCCCAGCGGACTCCAAGGCCCAGCGCCGATCCCAGACAGCCGTGCGTTGCTCGTGTCGCTCTTCTTCTTGCTCTTATTATTAAGATTTATTGTTAATATTATTCATATTATTATTCTTATCATTATTATTATTATCATTATTATTATTATCCTTTCTTCTTCGCCGAGAGCTCCTGCGCCGTCGCCTCCAAGCTCTCGATGGGAATCGTCGAGACCGGCCACTGCGCCCGCTCGCCCCGCCGCAGCGGCACTGCCATGCGCACGCCACCGGCGGGGAGCGGCATGCCTTGTCCCACGGCCAGGCAGTGCCACGGGGGGCAACCACTTCCTGGAAGAGACGCCCTTTTTTTTTCCTCCTCCTCCTCCTCCTCCTCCTCCTCCTCCTCCTCCTCCTCCTCCTCCTACTCCTTCTCCAAATAGATAACTCCTCCCTGTCGCACACCGCCGAAGCTAGCTTTTAGGGCGGGCCGGGCGTTTCGCCTGAATTTTTCCTCACCGTTTATGATTCCGAACGTTAAAATGTGACAACAGCTTCGAAGATGGAGGGCGAATGGTTTTCAAACTGTGGCTCTCGGCTCAGCGCCGCGCACGCTCAATTCTTTTAAATTTGCAAGAGAATCACGGATTCAGGGAGGGTGGTTTTCAAAAATGTGGCTCTCGCTTGAGCGCCGTGCACATTCGTTTTTAAAGTTTGCAAGGGTTTCACGGATTGAGGGCGGGTGGATTTCAAAATGTGGCTCTCGCCTTAACGCCGCACACATGTGATTTTAACAGAATTGGATTTCATGGATTGAGGGCGGTTTGTTTTCAAAATGTGGCTCTCGCCGTAGCGCCGCGCGCATCTATTTGTTGTTTAGGATGTGCAAGAGGTTCACGGATTGAGGGCGGTTCCTTTTCAAAATGTGGCTCTCGCCTTAGCGCCGATCGCATTCGATTTTCACAACCAAAAATCATTGATTCTCCATGATCAACGTACTAGAAACGGTGTTTTGAACGGGCTCATCATTATGCGGGCGCAACAGTTATGTTGATTCGCTGTGTCAAAGTCCAAGAAATGACGTTCTCGAACGATTGTGGATCGTCAAGACGCAGCAGTCAGGTTGATACGTGGCGTTGAAATCCAGAGAACAACGCTTTGGCACGCTTCTGGATCTTGAAACGGTTGTCTTCTAGCGAGGCAGTTCCCTCAATGGAAATGAGCCGCTGTAGGGGCCTATGCAGAGGGAGCTTGGATGAATGGTTAATTCCAACACCGTTGATGACTCTTGGGATTCCACTAGTCCTCCTCCTCCTCGACCTCCTCCTCCTCCCCCTCCTTCTCCTCCTGGGAGGGGAAGCGAGAATTGGCGGGCCTTCTCAGAAGGCTTGGAAATCCCCCAACGTGTTCTCTAAGCCTTCCCTGAAAACACCAAGAATTTTGCAGAAGGCAGGGGCGCTTCCGAGAAGTCCCGCCGCCTTCTGAGAAGGCCTTCTCCTTCTCGCCTCCCCCCTCGCTCGCCGCCGAAATGGTGTCCCCAGAACACTCCAGAGCTCACAAGAACGGCACCAGACCTCCAATTTCCTGAAGCTTCCATCTTGGAGCCTCGATCCTCGGGAGGAGCTGGCGACAACCCGTAGTCGTGGTGACACCCCGTGGCACTGCCCACATGGCTCCGAGCTGAAAGGCCGGCGGGAGTGCCCAGGTGGTGGTGCGCGCTTGCCTTGGAGTCGAGCCCGAAGGGGGGTGGGCCCCACGAATAGACGAGTGAGGAGCAGGAAGGGGCGCATCGGCAGCAGCAGGGGAGGCAGATGAGGCACGGGAGGCGGAGGCGGAGGAGGCGGAGGAGGACGAGGCCAGGAAGAGGTATGCCAGGGCGACGCGGCTGAAGGGGTGGGCCGGATCGACCTGTGGAGGCCGCCCTTGAAGGGGGGGCCGAAGCGGGCGGGGGGAGGTGGAGGGGACAGGAGACGGAGTTGTATGCTGAAGACCTCTGCCAGCAAGCCTTGATGGGCAGGCCCAGGATTCACAGGCAAGATGAAGAAGAGCCCGCGTACAAGCGAGATGTGTCGGTACATGCTGCGGCCACCTCGCGCGTCCAAAAGGTCAGGGCTGACCTGTGCCGCTTCCACCCTGCCCCTGCTCAGGGACCCTCAAACTGGGGCAAGATTAGCCTGGCGAAGGACCCAACCACTTGCAGCTTGGAGTACCGCATCTGTGAGCACCGTCTTCGATGGAGCTCCCTATGGGGTCACGAAGCGCTGGGCTAGATGGGGGGGGGACGCATGTGGGCGGTGCAGTTGAGGCCTTCGGTGCAGCTCCCTATGCGAACAGGAAACGCTGTACTGGATGGGGGCGACGCATGCGGACAGTGACACGGTGGCCTTCAGTGGAGCTCCCTATGGGGCCACGAATCGCTGCCCTGGGTCGGGGAGACGCATGTGGACGGAGACGCATGCGGGCGGCAGCGCTGGGGCCTTCAATGGAGTTCCCCATGGGGCCACGAAACGATGTACTGTACTGGGTGGTGGGGGGGCGCATGCGGGCGGTAGCACTGAGGCCGTCGGTGGCGCTTCCTATGGGGCCACGAAGCGTTGTACTGGGCGGGGGAGTCCCGTGCGGGCGGAAGCAGTGGAACCTTCGGTGGAGCTCCCTATGGGGCCACGAAGCGCTGTACTGTGCTGGGGACGCACGCTGGCGGTAGCACTGAAGATTCGGGTGCAGATCCCTATGGGGCCACGAGACGTGTGAGAGGTGCCGACATGTAAGACTGATAAGGAGAGCAGAGGCAGGGATGGGAGGAGGGAGAGGGGGGGGGGGAGGAGGTGGAAGGACCGCGGGGACTGTCCCTTCAAAACGAGGACCCAACACCACAGGATTAGTGGGAAGAGATGCGACAACGAAGGGGAGTGGCCAGCCTCCCTGGCCGCGCCCCCCCGCCCTTCAGCAGACACAGCGGGCCTCTCCAATCGACAATGTCGACGGTCTGCCGGCGACCCAACGAGTCCCGCAGCCTACCGCGGGCGGGACCGACAAGGCCGCCGTTGGACCCCCGTCGGGGGCGCGCCCCCTTCTCAGGCCCGTGATCCGACCCTTCTCCTCCTCCTCCTCCTCCTCATCCTCCTCCTCCTCCTCCTCCTCCTCCTCCTCCTCCTATTCCCCCTCCTCGCCTGAGGCCGTCCACGGCGACACCGAAACCGAACACCGAGTGGACCGAGATCGAAACCGAAACCGACGGAAGTCGAACCGGAGAGTGGTTCTTATTCCATCACCATTACGTCCGTGCTGGTGAGCCGTGATGGGGGTAACGGTAGCGTGGCGGGCTCGGGCATGTACTAGCAGCAGTGATGGTAGTAGCGATGCTAACATGAGTAGTGGTGGGAGTACTTGGAAAGGCCACGAAGACGAAGAAGACGGCGACGACTACAAGCGGCGAAGACACCGACAACAACAACGAAGACGAGGACGACGACGACGACCAGCCAGGTTGGCGACGATGACGACGACGACCAGCGGCTTCGGTAGCGGCGACGACAACGACGACCATCGGCGACTATAACGCCGACTGGCGGTGACGACAACGAACGGCGGCGACGAATAGCAGCAGTAGAAGCATAAGAGCAATAGCAGTAATATTGAAAGCCGTATTAGTAATAACTAAAGTAGTCGTAGAATGATGCTGTTCGTCGTAGTCGTACCAGTAGCACCAGTAATACAACGAATGCTAATCCCACCAGCCCTCTGGGCGTAGGTGGTTTAGGGGATTTCCTCTTCCATCTTCCCTTCTTCCCCTTCGGGGAGGGGTTTACCCCTCCCCCTAGCCCCCTCCCCTGGACCTGGACGGGGGGTTTCGCCGGTAGTTGGAGCGTCCAAAACGGCCTCGGCGAGGAAGCCAAAATCATCGGTTTTACCAGTATTTGGGCCGATTTGGGAGGGTCACGAGAAAGGAGGCTAATTGAGGGACCCCCTTCCTTTGACCGATCACCTCCAAGATGGCCCCAAGAACGCTCCCAACGCTCCCAAGAGCGCCCCAAGAGGGCCTCAAGAGGCGCCCAGGAGGCCCCATGAGGTCCCCAAGAGGCCCTGATGAGGCCCCCTAGACCCCCAAGAGGCCTCAAGAGGATCCCCGAGGCATCCAAGAATCCCCCAGGCGCTCCAAGAGGACTCCAAAACAACTTCCAAGGGACATCCTAGGAGGCTCTTGTGAACGTCATTGTTCTTGTTCCTTCTCATCTTTCTCCTCCTCCTCCTCCTCCTCCTCCTCCTCCTCCTCCTTGTCGGCCTACTCCTCCTCCTCCTCCTCCTCCTCCTCCTCCTCCTCCTCCTCCTCCTCCTCCTTCTCCTCCACTTTATCAGCCTCATCCTCCTCCTCCTCCTTTCCTCTTCTCTTCCTCCCCCCCTCATCCTCCTCCTCCTCCCCCTCCTCCTCATCATCCGCCTGTTCCCCCTCCTCCCTCCTCCCTCCTCCCACTTTTCCCACCTGCTGCCCCTCCTCCCCCCCTCCTCCTCCTCCTCATCATCCTCCTCCTCCGACTCCTCCTCCATCCTCGCCCTCTTGGGTAAGACGGGTCCCCCAGCCCTTTGCTACTCTGTATGCTCCCTCACTTCCCTGATCACCGCAATTCGCCTGGGCATCGTTTTTGGATGGGCCGGTGGGGATATTTTTGAATATATTTTTTCAGCCGCGGGCGGAAGCGCCAGCGGCGGCGGGTAACGGTCGGGCTGCGGCCGCTACAAATTGGCCGGGAGCGCGCGCGAACCGCGGCCGGCGCCGGGCGGCGGGTGCAAGGGTGCTGCTGCCCAGGGAGTCTGATGGGAACCCAGCACCCAGGGATAAGTAATTACGCTGCCAAAGTGGCGCGATGCAAACCCCCACCGTGTCAGAGGCTACAGAACAAATGCGGTCTGAGACACTAACTGAACACAAGGAAGTCCCCAACCTCGGCGGGAATGAAGAGCGAGGGGATCCAGGGGACCTGCCATGCACAAATCAACCGAAAGACATACGAGCAGTCGTCAGTCGGCATCCCGTACGAAAGGTTAGCTCTGACAGCGCCAGCGAACCGTCGCAGCTTCAGAGTACGCACCCACACAGCCCAAAGGCGTGGAGTTCGTGGTGCCGAACCGAACCACAAATCGCAAGCGACGCCAACCGGATTAGAACAGGGACGTGTACCAGGGAGCAACTAACGTGACCAGCACAACCGGAGCCGCCTAACCAAAGTACCCTGGCGTACCTGAGTGGAGTAGACGAAGGCGCTCGAGGAGCGGTGCTGCCTCATACCAGCTGCAGCCCAAGCAACAGCCAGCGGTCACGAAGAAACCCAGGGAAGACCGCTCGTCCGGGTGGAGCGGGGGCGCGACGGTGGGATGTGCCAGTCCAGGCAACCGTAACTGGCGGCCATCAAAGGAACAGCGAACCACTGCACAGATGTTGGTCAGTCCAACAGGTGGGGATACGCGAAGCGTTCAGAATTTAGCACTACCGCAGATAGAGCTGCCACTACGAATGCCGCAACTACCCCGAAAACTTCTAGTACAAGTGTATCTACGATTGATACCACTACTGAGGCTACTACTACTTGCACGATTACTTCTACGGATCGTGCATCTACGTGAACCACTTGTTCTAAGACCATTTCTGCAACATGAGCCATGGCATTACGTAGTGCGTATCACGACGTAATACACAAGTCTTTCTGACTCAGTAGACAGCAACCATACACGAATTAACCAAGACAAACGTACTGGTGTGTTAATATTGAATGTCAGCGTTGTGTATCTAATTATGATGGTGAAGGTAGTACTGAACGTAGCAATACCACGTGTGAAAGTAGTGGTACTGGTATCAAAAAGTAAATGTCGTAAACATTCAATCGTTTTCGTGGTAAGTCGTGGAAGTAGTAGTAGCAACAACAAACACAGCATCTGCAGTAACAGCAATAATTGCACTCGTGCTCGTAGTAGTCGTAGTCGTTCTTGTAGAGCCATGAAAGTAATAGACGTGGTGGTAATAGCAGTACAAGTACTAGTAAGTAGTAGTAGTAGGGGTAGTAGTAGTAGAAGTAGTAGTAGTAGTCGTCGGCGTCGTCATCGTCGTAGTAGTACTAGTACTTGTACTAGTAGTAGTAGAAATGGTGGTAGTAGTAGTAGTAGTAGTAACAATAATACTGGTAGTTGCAGTCGGAGTAGGAGTAGGAATAGTAGTAATAGTCGTAGTAGTAGTAGGAGGAGTAGTAGTAGTAGTAGTAGTAGTAGTAGTGGTAGTAATAATAGTAATCGTAGTAGTAGGCGTGGTAGTAGTAGTAGTAGTAGTAGTAGTAGTAGTAGTAGTAGTGGTAGGAATAATGGTAAGAGTAAAAGTAGTTGTCCTAGTAAGTAGTAGTAGTAGTAGTAGTAATAGTAATAGTAGTGATAGTAGTAGTAGTAGTAGTAGTAGTAGTAGTAGTAGTAGTACTAGTAGTAGTCGTAGCAGTCGTCGTAGTAATAGTAGTAGTGGTCGTAGTAGTAGTAGTAGTAGTAGTAGTAGTAGTAGTAGTAGTAGTATATAGTAGTAGTAGTAGTAGTAGAAGTAGTAGTAGTAGTAGTAGTAGTAGTAGCCGTAGTAGTAGTAGTAGTAGTAGTAGTAGCAGTAGTAGTAGTAGTAGTAGTAGTATAGTAATAGTGGTAGTAGTAGTAGTAGTAGTTGTTGTTGTCGTAGTCGTAGTAGTAGTAGTAGTAGTAGTAGTAATAGTAG